TATTATCTAGTCAGGGAGGGAAGTGAGTCTGGTTTGCAGGGATTGAAAAACTGTAAGGACTACCAGGAAGGACTGCTTCTGCTGGGAGGCAGTGTTGGTGGGGTGACGTCACAGGAAGCACAAGCGGACAGGAAGCCTTTAGAAAGGAGCAAGTCCTCTCTTTGTCCTCGAACCCTGCATTCCCCCTTCATTCCCACTGTTGGCAGAACCTAACTCAGTGCCAGAACATAACTCAAGACAGAAATGGGGTCTTCAGGGTCCCAGGGGCATATCATAGAGCCAAATACAGAGAAGAGCACTTTGAGTACAGAGACAGCGAGTTAGTAGCTGGCCCAACAATGACGCCTCATTGCTCTTTCAAAAACTCATCAGGGAAAAAACGACATTTTCACTTTCCAGAAGTAAAATATGCCATTCAAATTTGTTCCAACAAAAAAAATCTAGGAAAGGATGGCTTGTGAATCAATTTTTAAAGAGCCATTGGTTCAGTATTTCCAGTTTCAAGTTTTATATTTCTGATTTTCAGGGGGGAAAAAGTAAATTTAATAAGTCAATTTTGCCCCCAAATATACACTTTCTCAAAAAATTTTTATTTCATCAAAAAATATCGTAAAATTTAAATATCACTCTTAGAATTCACTTTATGTGAAACAACTGACAACTATTTAAAATACAACTATATCTCAATTGAGTTAGGTTTTCATGTAAGAGACTCTTAAAAAGTGGCTAAAATACAATAAACATTTATTTCTTTATGCACATAAAGCCCCAGGGAGTTACTTGTATGGTGGCTCAAACATTATCAGGTATTCAAGTGATCCAGGTCTCTGCTCTGCCTTGTCAAGGTCACGTGAATACAATCTGGTCATATATGGCTGCTAGAGCTCCAGCCATCACATCCACGTTCTAAGCATCAGTATGAACATAGGGAAGAGAAACAAGTTAGACCCCTACAGTCTAAGAGGAGTTCTTACAAGTCACACACAATACTTCACTAGCTACAAAGGAGCCTCTGGAGTTGTAGCTGGGAATTGGTGTGTACAGCTAAAAATTGGCACGCTCTTAATTTGAGTGAGTTGGGCAGAATTCCTACTGGTAAGGAACTAGCTGTTTCTGCCAGGCTCTGGGAGGGATATTACCTCATCAATCATAGACGTCGATGTGAACAAGTCTGTCAGCCCCTTTCTGAAAGTGAGATTTCATAGGTAAGGAAGACCAAATAGTATGTGAGGGCACTGGGCAGGGGAGAGCAGAGGCTGCGGAACAGGGTGGATGGAGAATATTAAGGACAAACCTCCTCTATTTTACAATTTTGCTAAAAGTAAGCATTAGCTCCAACCCATGTTCCTTATTTATTTATTTGCCCATTTAAATAATTTGGATTGTATACAATTCATAAGGGAAGGGCTCATGTGTCACATATGTATTTTGTTCCTAAGGACTACATTTAAAAAAAAAAAAAAGAGATTTTATCCCTTTGGTTGTGTTCTCTTCCCTCTTTTATAGAGGAGCACCTTCCAATGCCAGAATGGGTTTTGCATTTCCAAGGTTGTTGTATTCATCCTTGTGAGTCCGTTTCTTCCTTCCCATGAACCCCAAAGGGCATGGGGAAATGGCATCATATAGATAAAACATGACCTTCCAAAACAGCCCTTAAATCTCCTATGTGCAGATATGGTCAGGCTAATTGGAGTGAACATTTCTCCTGGACGCTTGGGGTAAAACTAGCTGGCTCTGCAAAGTGGTTTTCTCTATAAACTAGCAGCATTTATTTACAATATGTCTGGTGACAAGCCAATTTCTTAAGTAATGTAAGTATATGCATTTAGTACTTTCCAGTGTTTTTGCTTTTGGATCAAACTTATAGGGGAGAGCAGCTGACCAGGCCGTGCCTTGTCAGAATCACTGGCAACAACTTCATAAAGTTTTCAGTTTCCAAGAATTTCACTCGCTTCCAGCTCCCTCATCTTTAATAATTTGTTGCCTTTAACCACAAATAAAGCAAGTTTCAGGAGGTCATTGGAGGAAGAAGGAGATGATACAGAAAGAAAAGATGAAGATTTGGTTGGGAATTTTATGATGCTTGTGCTTGCTTCAGAGAAATTATTTGCAGTGCACACACACCTGCAAAAATAAAGATCCATTCCGCATCAAAGTGGTTGCAAACTGAACACCATCTGGCCCCTTCAGGCAGCCTTCACTTTCACCCATTATAGCACCCAGTTCCCTGTAATCCATCCCCGCCCTGGTTAGTAAGAAATTCCTCTGAAGGATGTTGATGAGATCAGGAAAAGGATGTGCATTGCCCACCTTGCAGGGGAAAGCAAAATCTAGATAAATAACTTAGAGCAAGATAAATGATCCCTGTCCCTTAAGGGAAAATCCTGTCTTCAGTAGCCCCATAGGTCTCGTGCTTTTTCCATCACGAGGTTTCTCTTCTTCTATGCTTTATTCCCCTCCTCCCTTTTGCCTCTTCCTTCTCCTAAAGGCTGGTGTGGGGGCTTAGTTACCTTTCCATGGGGCATATGAATCATCCATTAAAACAGGGACAAAAATGAAAGGGAAGAAGCTCTGCCGGCAGAAGGTTAGGCAGGATGAATAATGGAAAGAGCTGAGTACTGGAGCCAAAGAGAACTGGAATGGATTCCCCGTTCTGTCATTTAGAAATTGACTGTCTTGGGCAAGTTATTCATCTTTTCTGAGTCACCATTTCTTTGTTTATAAAATTGAAATAATAATACCTGCCTCATAATCATTTGAGAATTAAATTTTGTATGTAAAATTTAGCACAATATTTGATGCATAGTTGCCATTCAATAAATATTAGTTCTCTTATTTATCCTAAGGGGAATGGAAGAGTTGTTGGGGCAAGTAATGGGGCTTTCTCAGTGTTCTAATCTACTGGGAACTCGTGTGTGTATGTGTGTGTGTGTGTGTGTGTGTGTGTGTGTGTGAGAGAGAGAGAGAGAGAGAGAGAGAGAAGCATCAATTTATTATTGAACTTATTTATGCATTCCTTGGTTGATTCTTGTATGTGCCCTGACTGGGAAGGATTGAACCTGCAACCTTGGCTTATCGGGACAATGATTTAACCAACCCAGCTACCAGCCAGAGCCTTCTTAATTACATTTGGTGTCTGAAAATTTCTGGTATCAAGGAAAATGGGAAACTAAAGAGGAGATCCTCGGTGAACAAGAAATCAAAAAGCAATAAAGTAGAGTGGTTTGGGGTATTATTTCACCCATTTGCCGATAAAACAATTTTTACCAGATTCCTTGTGTTCTCCAGATTCACGTTCTCCTTTGGATGGTGCTGATCAAGTGATACATTTTGTTTCTCTAAGCTTGACTTTCTGTGCTGACCACTCTGGGGCCAACACATTCTTTTGTCACATGTGTTAATATCACTGTCTTACGATCTGTCAAAATGAAAAATAGCTGCCTTTTCTGTGCCAGACCTAATTTGATAGTCTTAACTGCAAAGATTCAGACCTTTCTTGGCACCAAAATACAGGAACTGGGCACAGATCTCACAGCTCTTTTGGTCCTTTCTCGAGCACAAAGCCCAAACAGAATTCTGACATTGCTAGCACTGCCGTCCTCGCTCTGCCTAAACTCATGTCTGCTGTGGACAGTGTTTGTGATTGAGAACGGATGCTACAAAGCTTTAATTCAGGTCCACGTCATCCTTCAGGAAGTGAAGATGGTCCTTAGACTTCTGGAAAATAGTATTTCTTGGGCTAGATTGTAGATCCTGGGTAATATTGTCTCATCCTTTTCCTCAGGGTAACAACTCCTGGGCTCTGCCCATAATGAGATCTTATCACCCTGTCTTCTGCTTGGCTGGGGGAAAACCCTAGCCATGTTTTTATAAAAAATATTCGGAAGATAGATGATAGATAGATAGATAGATAGATATAAAATAGGGTAGTGAGCATAATGGCTATAAAAAGGCAATCACACAGTCTGAGCTTCTTCACCCCAGGGAAGTCTGTCCACATCCCACCAGGAAGAGGACAGGCCTGAGTTTGCATTCTTGGTTTGACAGTCATGGCCACAGTTTATTAATACTCCTTTCCCATAACAAAAAAAGGTGGATACCTGGTAGATTATAAGACATTTACACTCCCTCTGAAAGTTTTCATAATATTTCATAATATTCTCATGGTATTCACTGTTGAATTACTTTTTCTGTAGGAGATTTTAACCTCAGACCCTCAGACACTCCAGAAGTCTGGCACTCTACTCTATCTCAAATAAAATATATCTAGCAAGTAAAAATATTTGATAAACAATTTCCATAAATTAGCTTTACTTGTCAACGTAAGAATATTAATTTTCGTTTTTAAATCATTATTCTAAAAAGAGGTCCGTAGACTTCAAAGGCCTGTCAGAGCATCCTGGCCCGGCAACGTCCGGACTCCCTCGGGCAGTGGGGGAAGGTCCTCTCCGTGACCTGCAGTTTCATTATCTAATGTTCACAGTTCTCGTTCGCTCTCTCACAACCTCACCGCGGTGCCTCTGAGGGTTTGTGTCAGGTGTGTCTATGATGTGCAGTAAATGTCGATCTTCCTTTGGGCAGAATCCTAGTTTCAATACAGTGACAGTGCAATTCAGAATGGACATTTTCTTGTTCACTGAAAAAGTCCTATGTGCTAGTTGCTGTACTAGCCAGAGATAGTAAGTAAAACAAAAAAATCTGCTCTGTAGGAGGTGTGTGTGTGTGTGTGTGTGTGTGTGTGTGTGTGTGTGTAGTAATTCTAGATTTGTTTCTCCCACAGGTCTCCGAGGCCCAGCGAGTTCAATGGGGACGTTGCAGTGCTCCGGGCTGCTGCTCCTCAATGAAGCTCTGAGTCCTGGCCTGAGGGGCTAAGGTGCTGGCTACAATGTGGAACCCCAGGACAGCCCACCTGACTCACCTTTGCTCTGAGAAGAAGTCTCTCATGAAACTGGGCTGAAATCAGAGCAAGGACTAGAGAAAGATTTTGTGTGCGTGTGTTCATGGAAAGAGGAAAGGAGAAAAGGGTTTCCAAAAACCTGCAACAAACTTTCCATCGCTCTAAAGAACCTACCTTCCTTATCAACCAAGCTGTTCCGTCTAGGGACTCCTCTTCTAGCCTTTTGCCAGAAACAGGGCAAGTCCACCCTGGTGAAGAAATAAAGACAAACCCTCAGAGAACTAGGCCTGGGACTGTGATCCTCTCAAGACGCCCTGGTAAGAGAAGCATGTCAGAAAGCCAGCCTACCCGACCCGTGATCCCGTCCCGCAGGCCTGGATTCCGGATATGCTATATCTGCGGCCGAGAATTTGGGTCCCAGTCCCTCGCCATTCATGAGCCCCAGTGCCTGGAGAAGTGGCGGGTTGAAAACAGCAAGCTGCCCAAGCACCAGCGGAGGCCAGAACCCTCCAAGCCACAGCCGCTGGCCGGCGGCAATGGGTCCTACACGCTCGAGGCGCTGAACGAGGCAGCGTTCCAGAGCTCGCAGGCCCAGCTGCTGCCCTGCGAAATCTGTGGCCGCACATTCTTGCCGGACCGCCTTATTGTCCACCAGAGAAGCTGCAAGCCCAAGGGCGGTGGGCCCAGAGAGCCAAAGAGCAACAACTCCAGTGACCTTCCTGGTCTTCAGAAAGCTGCTGGTGGCGTCCCACCTCGACCAAGGACTCTCGTCTGCTACATTTGTGGCAGGGAATTTGGCTCCCTCTCCCTTCCTATTCATGAGCCCAAATGCCTGGAAAAGTGGAAAATAGAAAACAGCCAGCTCCCCAGGGAGCTCCGCCGGCCATCGCCACAGAAGCCTCAGCCCTTTGTACCCGGCGAGGGGCCAAGTCAAGCTCAGCTTGAGCCCTGCCCACACTGCGGCCGGACCTTTGCCCCCCAGCGCCTGCCGGTGCATCTGAGAAGCTGTAAGCCTCAATCCAGTGGGCCACGCGCTCAGAATTTGACTTTAGGGAGCAAAGGCGGCCTGAAAGAGCCCGCTAATTCCAAGCAGCAAAGGCACGTGGCAGCACCCACTGAGACTGAAAAGGTAACGCAGGCCACGTGAGATGCCCTGGGTGGACCCCGGGGTGCATGCTGCCTCCAGGGGAGGGAGAGAAGACAGACCCCGAATCACCTGCCTCAGCCCCTAGAGTGGTTTCTTTCCATGCCTATTTCTGACTCATCGCAGCCTGTCCAATTTGACCCCTGTCCCACTCCAGGGGCTGTATCTCTGATGGCAAAGTAGACACAAGAACATCCTTGCCTGGTGGATTCACAGTTCTCTTCCATTTTGTTGAGAGAGTGAGAGCAAAAGGGAGAGGGAGAGGGAGAGGGAGGACTTCTTTCTTCCCTGACCCTTCCTTACCAATAATCCTTGGGAGAGACTGTTATTTGAAAATGAGTCATTAATGCTATGTCTACATTACAGAGCTATAACCCCCGTTCCAAAAGCCAATATTTATTACCAGTTTATTTTAGTCATCTACCTTAGGAATTTGTTTCTGGCAACGCCGAGTTCTGCCGAGTTTATCTTACTAAAATAGAATCTGTGTCAAAAACCCCAAATGACCCCAGCGATAATTAAACACTGGCGCACTCGCAGGAATAGACGTGCTCTGGAGTGCGGCATGTTTTCTATTAACGCTGACATGATGGTAGTATGTGGGGGATTAACCCAGTGTAGACGCCCAAGAAGGGAGGCATGTGTTCCTGGTTCTGGGAAGTGCAGATTCCCGCTGCTGCTCTGTACCTTGTATCTGGGTTGGACTCCACGCTCTGACTCGCCACTTGGGCAATTGTTAAAAGTAAGCATGACCCAGGGGTTCCCAGTCATAGGGGAAGTGTTGTTGGTTTTTCACCTGAAGTTTCTTCATCCACCAGGATTGGGGAAAGATGCTCATGAGGGTGGCTACCTGCAAAACAGGCGACGGTCCATGGACTCGGTCCTACCCTTAAGCCAAGCAGATGGATGTGCTGTCTGTGTCACAGCTTACTGATGTCAAATCATGAGAAACAGGATGTAGTCAATCTTTTCTCTCTTTCCTCCCCGCCCCACCTCCTCCTCTTCCTCTTCTTCCTTTGTTTTCTCCTTCTTCGATTTGCTACTTGAAACACCCACCTGCATGGTTCTTTAAATGGAATGATTTGAAAAAATAAAAAAATAAATGGACTGTTTTGGGAAAACTAAGGTTACTCAAGGTATTGCAAAGTGTTAAACCAAAAGGGGTTGGGGGATCTTTTGTGTTTAATTCAGTGTTTCTTCCTTACTCTTTCGTTGCATCTTTTTGGCAAATATCTAGTACTTTTTTCTAACTTCCATGTTTAAAATGACATTATATGGACTTGCCGGTTTAGAAGATTTCAAGATAATGATCCTAAAGCTGAAGAGTCACACTGACAGAAGCTGGCTGAGTGTTCCGATGGACTTTGAAGAAAGAATGGCTGGTTTCTTTGCCGGATGAAAACCCAAACTCTTAAGTGTGGCAAGTACTGCAGGCTGGTCTCACAAACATGATCTGCTTTTCCCATCTTCTGGCTGTTGTTTTTCTTTCAAAACATGTGAGGTCTGGACTCCAAGAGCAAAAGGATTGTGTGTCTTGGGGTCACAATCAAGCAACTCTGTTTTTGTGTGACTTTCAGCCCTGTGTCCTGATTGTATGCATTTACTTCAAATGTTCTCATTACAGATCTTGAGATAGGGAAGAGTGTGGTCAGGATTCTTGGGCTTATTGTTATAACACATACTTTGTGCTCCCAAGAGTGGAGCCAACAGGCTGAGCACAGCATGTTCTAACTCAGTCACGACTGCTAAAAGAGGCTGGCCCAGGCCCACGGCTTCACTAGAGGACACCTCCTGCCTCCCGCAGTCGTCCGGAGGGGAGGATGTCAGAAGGAGAGGCCAGCAGGGGCCCCCGATGACTCGTGCACTGAGCAGAGGGGGAGTTCATCAGAGCAAGGGCATCGATAGGGCATGGCTGTGTGAGAGCACAGCCAGCTCTGCTCCCAGATGTGAGAAGGCATGTGTCAGTGAGAACCTGGTGCCCACAGCTGTCAGATGTGTGCTGGCCTATTTGGGGACCATGCAGGCTTTAGTGGGGGGTCATGGAAAGGTCACCTAACATAGGGTCCCTTTAGTTGCCAGATTTAAAGCAAGCTTGGTTTAATGACAATGGAGAAATCTCCTAAGGCTTCAGAGGGGCATAATGATCTGGAAGCAATGGATTTGATTCCTTCGCTAAGAAAGGTGTTTGCTGTGCAGTGGTACTTTCAGCAGCAAGGCCCTCCTGGGAACTGCAAGAGTACACAATTTGATCCTCTCTGTTGCTGTATTTCTTTTATCTTTAACATTTAGATAGTGCCGTGAACCATACATTTTCCATAAAGAGCATTACCTTATGCATTATTAGATTTCAGATTTTCATCTGTCTGCGATGGTCAACTTTTGGCTGACTATGGTGTACATGCATTCTTTTTTTTTTTTCTCAAATATATTTTATTGATTTCAGAAAGGAAGAGAGAGGGAGAGACAGAAATATTAATGATGAGAGAGAGAATCATTGTTTGGCTGCCTCCTACATGTTGCTCACCGGGATCAAACCCACAACCTGGGCATGTGCCCTGACCTGGAATCAAACCATGACCACCTGTTTCCTAGGCTGATGCTCAATCACACTGACATGGCCACATGCATTTTTTTTTTTTTTTTTTTAGATTTCAAACGTTTCCTTCATTTCTTCTCTTGTCAATTATAACAATTTCCCTCTAGAATCCTTGATCTGACTTCTGATTAGAATCAATGATCTTGCCGGATGTTCTCAGGGGGCTCAGTCTTGCAGTGAATTCAAGTGAGAAAAATCTTTTCAGAACTACGATCACAGTGCTTGGAAAACAATTCACTCCAGTTGGGCAACATGACTGTTTCGCTGGCAGAGTGAATTACCTTCTGCTCAGAATGTTCTTCCAACATAGATTGGCTCAGTTCTCTTAGGACACAGATACTTCTGTCACCTTTCAATCATTTCTAAACATAAACTAACGCCACTAAGGCAAGTTCTCTTCCAAAACCTCAGTGGGCACTTTGCAATTCGTTCTGTTTATTGGTTAGGTAATGCTTGCGGTTATTTTCTTAGGATTATGCTGGTCACATGTGAAATCCCTTTTCTAAAAATCCTTTATTACATTACAAATTAGGCATTATTTTTTTGTAGGGAAACTATCTTCTCTATAAATGATCATCTCTTTCAATGTAGTTTTATGCTCAGATTTGAGCTAAAAGTCCCTCAGATACTTCTTTAGCGTCTGGTGCTGCCATCTGGTGTTTTCTTTTAAAGTAATGTCTTCTACACTATCAAAAAAATTTTTTTTTCCTCTTTGTGTTACCTCCAAATATATTTGAGAAGGTACCCTTATAACACAAACTAGTTATTTAGGGCGGTGGTTACATATTTGGTTTAATGTTATAAATTGTGTTTCATGGCTAAGTGTCTCATCCTCTAAAGGCAAAAATCTTAATAGGAAGGTCACCATCAGAAAGACTCAGAAGGATAGGATGGATGGTGTCTCATCAAAAGTTTTATGTATGCACATGTATTATTAGGTAAGAAGTTTTTGTTTATTGGGAGGCATGGGAAAAACTTTTTTTTGAGTACTTTCTTGATAAGCACTTTATATACATGTTCTCACTTTAATCTTCATACTATTACTAAAAGACAGGTATTATTTTCCCCACTTACCAGGTGAAGCAACTGAGGGTTAAGCAACTTGACCAAAGTCACTCAGTGGGGATGGTAGAAGGTGTCAGAGCCAGATACAAAGGCTCATTACCTTTGCATGCTACTGAAAGAGAGGATTATGTGTGATACAAAAAGGGTATGGTTATCTTGCCAGGCTGTGAGTGTTAAATATGACAAAGAGGACAGAAGTTAAAGTCCATTCAACAAATATTTACTCTTCGACATTGGCTAAGTACTAAATATAGAGTCATAAAAAAGACAGACACAGTTCTTGATCTCATGGAGACTTGTGGAGGAAATATGAAATAAATATGAAATTTGTGTGATATGGCAGTGTTTCTTGATAAGAATGGATATTCTTGGGTCAAGAAACCTCTGGGAGGAAGTGACATTTCAGCTGTGATACAAAAGGTATGAACGCATTAGCCAAGACATTCTGGCCAGAGGAAACGTGTGAAGACCTTGAGGTAAGAAAGATCTTTAAATGGAACTAGGACGTCCATACGTGGCCAGAGCCTAATGGAACAGGAGACAGGCACACAAGATGAAGCTGTAGAAACAGCATGGTTCTCTCCAGCTTCTATGTGGACATCCTGGCATCAGTTTGGCTACTGCAGAAGTCCAGGTAAAAGCTGATGATGCTTGGCCTAGGGTATTGGTAGCAGAGATGGAGATCAGGTATCATGAGAATGTGATAGTTAGGACAAGGTGATAAGTTAGGACATGGAAGGGTTAGGAAGGGGGTCAAGGATGACTCCCACATGTCTAGTTTGAGCAACTGTACTAGTTGTGCCATTTTCTAACGGGAGAAAGACTTGAGAAAGGGTAACTCTTGAGGGTTAAAACTAATAGTTCTATTCTGGGCATATCACATTCAAAATGCTTATGAGATATCTAAGTGGGTAAGACAAGCTGAATATATAAGTCTGAGTCTCAAAAGAAAAGACTAGGCTGGGGTATAGATTTGTGTAATGTAACCTATATTTAAAGTCATCAGAATGAGGATAGGGTTATGAAAATAGACCCAGGGCTGAGCTAAGAGGCATTACCGTATTTGGAGATCTGAAGGGAAGGATCTGGAGAAGGAGTGCCTGGAGACACTAGAGAAAAGACTAGAGTATGGTGCCACAGAAACTGAGATCAGAGAAGATGACACAAATAAGGGTGTGGAAAACAGTGGAATGCCGAGGTTGAACTGGATGAGGGCCAAAAAATCTCTCTCATTTGGAAATGTGGATTTAGTTTGATAACCTTAAAAAGAACATATTTAGTGTAGTGCTGGGGGTTGCCAGCTGCATGGTTGATAAAGACAGGGTGTGGTTTTAGAAGTTTG